GCAAAAAAAAAAAAAATCTTACTGACCCAATTTTTCAGATCAATTATTGCAAAACAAAAATTAACTATGCGTGGCCTTACCATTCGCATTCACCTTCTTTCTGTATTATTATTAACATTTTCCTTTAGCTTATTTATTGTATTGCCATTTTTAAATTTTATTTAATACTGTTATAACTTTATAGGGTTTTGGAGCAATTAAACGATGTGACAAATCAAATTATTCCAAAGACTGTTTACACTGATGCTGATCCAGCAATGGGTACAGCTTTGTAAAATATATGGCCTAGTGCACACCATTCCCACTGTATTTTTCATATAAATAACAATGTTGATAAAAAGTTAAAGGGCATTGTGGGTAAAAAATTTGATGAATGTTACAGGCTCTTTTACCATTCTCGAAATAGTTTGTGTGAAGTTGATTTTGAGCGTTATTAGACAAAATTCATAGAATTTCTCAGCTCATTTTCTAAAGCATCAAAATATGTACTTGAAACACTTTATCCTATACGTCATAGTTGGGCAGTCTGCTACACACAAACAAGATTTACTGCCGGCATTCAAAGTACCCAACGAGTTGAAGGCATGAATGCGATTATTAAGAAGGAAGTATTACACAGTTTAATGTTATTTCATCTGATTGATGCTATACAAAACTGTTTGGACAAAGAAGCAAGATATGCAAGAATAAATAAGCAAAAAAATATGAATCCATCTATAGGTAAGGATGGCAAAAGTTTTATTACATAATTAAAAACATATGATTACGATTAGTGATGTGCTATTTATATAATACCTGAATTTGTTTCATTTACTATACTGTACACAGCACATTTCTAATTACGATATTAACTATATTTAAATCCATTTTTTTTACTATTCCTAACTATAGGTTTATCTATCATTGCTAGTCGTTACTTCCCCACTATTGATTCCCTAATTCAAGAATATTTGACCCCACATATTCTCTCTCTTCAACGACAACAACTATCCGAAAGCTTTCTATACGATGCTTCTGAAATATCATATGAATGGGATAATAATATACCAGAACCAACAGATATTATAGAGAGTGGATACCTGGAAGATAATTATGAACGGTATCAAATATGCCTTAAGGCATTATTACAACCCCTACAACGTGAAGATGTCATGCAGATTTGGACTGTAGTACCGCAAGGATCATTTCAAGGCCACTTTAGTCACCATGTGATAATACTTACAGATGGTACACATTTATGTACCTGTCTTAACTTGGTCAATAAAGGACTCGTCTGTCGTCATTTCATCAAGGTTTTAATGAAATCGCATCTTGCCGTGTTTCACATTTCCTTAATCTCAGCCTGTTAGTATAAAAATAGTAAAATAATCTTAGATAAGGATTTGGTTGCTTCACAACAACCTATTAAATTGTGTAAATCTAATGAATCTTCAGAATATATTAGTGATAGTATCTCCCACACAATTAACTTTCGGCATTTGTCTCATTTCCGCACTCCAAATTTATTACAAAGACATTAATGAGTCGGATAATGACAGTTGGAATACTGATAAAATAGATGAGTTGCAAGAACCTGATTTATCAACAGTAAGTTAAATAATAATAATTAAATTTGGGTTTTGCTATTGTAATGCTGTAATTAATATATATACATATTTATTTAATATTCTATTTTAAAAAAGTGGAATTTTGATTATTCACCAAATTCTAGTCATCTTTCAAATTCCAGTTCTTCTGCCGTTAGTAAATTAAATAATACAGATGATGTAAGTAAAAATTTATAATATATTAATAAATAAATAAATACTATAAGCTAATAATTTTTATAAATATAGCTATTTTCAGAAATTATTCAATTAGGAAGCCGTGGTAATAAAGAAACTGCAGAACAAGTAAAATATCGACTAGAATTTGAAGAATATCCAAAAACAGCTTTAGATGGAGTTGCTTGCATTTACAATATAGCTGGCATGGATCTGAAGAAAGTATGTAAAATATTTGATCTTAAGAATATCCAATATTCTTATAATGATGGCATATCCTGTGATAATATTTATTGCTCCTTTTTAAATACCAAAGTTTATAAAGAAACTTGACATTGTTGTGGTATTAAATTTTGTCAATTTATTTTACCTGAACTTAAAAATGCTTCACATATGGTAGTTAACTTTGATGATGAATTATTTAAAAAAATATTTGAAGCTAATAAACTATCAGCCGATACAGCTACTTTAAAGTAAGTTCTTTTAATATAATATAAATTTAATAATCTTTAATTATATTTAATTATATTTAATTATATTTTTTAGTGAGTTTGTTGCTGCATATAAAATTTCATGTGAATATTATAATGAATTAGTACAAGCACAATGTAATGGAAAACCAATTATGGCAAAACATTATTAGATATTTTACTAATTAAATATATTATTTATTACAAAATTTCTAATTTTCACCACAGGTAAGTATCACCTGTAATTTAAACAATACTACGTATATACATACGAACATACATACTTCAATTTATTACAATATTTATTATTATACAATAGAATGATTTATATATATTTAATACTGTATGTATTGTACGTATTCGCATTTAAATAGTGTAGTAAACATAATCAAATATAAACAATGTAAATTCATAACAATGTAAATTCTTAAGCATGAAACTGTAGGAGTATTGATCTATAAGGTGTACTTGTACGCAGAATACATGAGTCTAAAAGACAAACAATACGAATAAGAACCTAAAGTCTGCAATAGCAAAAAAATAAACAATTCTTGTTTATTATTTTTCACGCATAATTGTGCAATTAGCTTGTCAAACAATATCACTATTATATCTTGGGCAAAACAATAAGATATGCCTTGAAGTTTGCATTTTAATGTTAATTATTTAGAATACTACTTTAAGCACTCCTAGTACGCTTTAGACAAACTTCAAATACAAAACACACTGTTCTTGTATGTCATTTATTCTAATTGCAATTCGTATATCTGAAATTGTAAGTAAATATTGTGCTATTGTTATGCCTAAAGTTAGCACTGCCTAAAGTTGTAACTTCGGATACCTGAAGCTACACCTGCCTAAAATTACTAGCTAATGCGTACAAAATAATCTAAATTCAGGTGATAATTTTAATCAAGTGCAACCTTAGGCAATTAACAACTTCAGGCGTGACAGGAATATGATCGATATGAAAGAAAAGAAAGACATAATAGAATGGTAGATATAGTATATAGAGTAGATAAGCATAGCGGGCTTTCATTGTAATTGGCTGATTTTTGTAGATCATCCCGTGATATTGCAAAAATATCATTGGTT